TGACGTGATTCTTTTTGTTTAAAACAGCCGATTTGAGCAACTTGTAAAAAATTACCTTAATTCAATTACCTTAATACATGAGGCATAAGAAATTGAACCAATCAGAATTCTTTATTTCATGAAAAAGAATGAAATAAAGGACTTCGATTGGTTCATTTTTTTATGCATTAGGACTTTAAGCGGGAAGCACAAACGCATAAGACATAAGAATCCAGAGTTCTTTATTTTATGAAAAGGAAGGAAACGAAGGATTTTGATTAGTATTTTTCTTATGTATTACGTGTTATGCGTTATGCAAGAATCTGTGCTTCCCGCTTTAAGGCCGCAGCACAGACTTTTGCATAATGCCTAGTGCATAAGAGAATCAACCAATCAGAATCCTTCCTTTCCTTTCGTTGACGGAAGAAGAGCTTTTATTGGTGATTTTCTTATCCATTATGCGTTATGAGTCTGTGCTGCGGGCTTTAGGATAAAAGCAGAGCTCTCTAATACAATTTATTGTACATATCTTAAGATAATACAATTTATTGTACACACCTTAAGGTAAGTAGGGAAATCTGGGGGAATTTTAAATTCAAGTTTAAGATCTAGCAATAAGTTGGCAACACTGAGGAATATGAAATAAGATTTGAGGTTGTGTTAAATTCGATTAAGTTGACTTATCTCGAATGTTTATGCCGGTATGAAATTAGAAAAATGAATGAAAAAAATGATAATACGATTGAAAGTGACAATCGAGAGGGAGAGAAGGATTTGTGTAAGGAGATAATTAATGGTATCGCCTGCAGAGAGGATTTATATCAATTTTTCGGACATAATGACCATAGCATCAATAAGATTCACTTTTCAGAGGTAAATTCTTTTATAATAGAAGTTTTTTTGAATGAATAAAATAAAAATAAAAGTATTGATGAAATAATTTTATGTATATTTGATAACTTTATATCTTGTTGAATAAACATAGAATTTTGCATATTAATAATTAACAACAAATAATTGTTGCACATTTGTCATTTTTTCAAATTTTTTTTATTTATAGTTTCATATGCTTTACATGAAATATTGCTGTGAAAATATTTTGTTTTATATTCAAATATTTTGCAAATATTGTTAAACACATTGAGAAACACATAAAAGAATGGAGAGATATAAAGCCGTAATTGCGGTATTGATTTTGATGCAAAATAGGTTTCCCAAATCTGTAAGGACAAACCATGTCAACTTGGAATTGATGAGGCAGGTCGTGGTCCAGTTTTAGGTCCAATGGTTTATGGGATCTCATATGCTCCATTGTCTCAGAAGCAACTGCTCGTCGATCTAGGCTGTGCAGATTCCAAGAGCTTGACGGAAAAGAAACGCGACGAGATATTTGATGATATCTGCAAGCATAAGGATAATATTGGCTGGGCGATCGAAGTAATATCGCCAAATGTTATTGCCAACAACATGTACCGTCGCACTAAAATTTCATTAAACGAGATCTCTATGATATCGGCTACAAATTTGATCCAAGAAGCAATCGAGGCAGGTGTGAACGTTGCTGAGATTTACGTGGATACCGTCGGCAAACCTGAGTCTTACCAAACGCGACTGAAAAGTATATTTCCTAGCATCAAGATAATTGTAGCAAAAAAAGCAGACGCAACCTATCCGATCGTCAGTGCAGCTAGTATATGTGCCAAGGTGTCGCGGGATCACGCAATACGAGCATGGCGGTTTCGCGAAGATGACGGCATTGAAACAGAATACGGCAGTGGCTATCCCAATGATCCAGTAACTAAAAATTGGTTATCCATGAATGTGGATCAGGTGTTCGGCTTCCCACAGCTTGTTCGGTTCAGCTGGTCCACTGCCGAACAGATTCTTGAATCAAAAGCATTGACAGTAGAATGGGAGAAAACGGAGGAAACTTTCAATGAGCAGAAGATTTTAAAGTTTTTCGCAAAATCTCCAACTAAATCGTCTAACGTTCACACGAAAAAACATCCGTTCTTCACCGAACGTTGTCTATCCAACACAAATGTCTTATGATATTTATTTTATGCTATTTTTTTTTCCTTCCCATTGTAGTCATTTAATAAGATTCTAAAGACTCTAACTTAACATATTATAAAACTTTGTAGGAATTATTAGATTATTACACAGGAAAGAGAAAGATAAAAAATTTGAATACAGTCGAATATTTCGAAAATAAAGCATTTTTGAAAAAAAATGTTTCAGGCAAAAATTGTAGAGTTTAAAAAGAATTATGTGCTCCTCTTAGTTTGATCACATAGATTTTAAAAAATAGAAACATTTTTCATTACATATTCTTATAGCTCATCTCGAGAATGTTTCAAAGCACTGTAACAAAATATTCTTCGTTTAATACTTTTTGAGTTACAAGGCTTGAAAGTTACAGTATTGTCGGCATTAACATTATCTAAGATGTCCAACTGATGATTAAAACATTTTAAATGTTTAGTTATTATCTTGATATCAATGTATGTCAATCATTTTTATGTAAAAATGAAAATAAGAAGGAACAATCTTCCAAAGACCTTGATCTGGACATATACAAAAAATACTTAATGAAACAATCTTTTGTTATAATATTTTGAAAAACTCTGGAAACATTTTTTTCAAAAATACATTGCTTTCGAAGCATTCGACTCGATCCAGATTTTTAATATATTTAGCTCATATATATTATATTTTTTCATAATTTAGTTTTTATAACTGATTGGAACATATACAAGATATCAAGAATAAAAATAGATTAAATGAATGTGTTTTCTTTTTGAATGTCATATAGTAAAGCAGAAAGAAATCTGAGAGAAGATACAAAGATCTTTTTCCTGTAATCGCAAAGTACCTTGCGCACTACTGCCCTCTGAAGAAGTGGATATCAATAATATCCACGTTTTTGCGATACCCGTGATAGAGATAAATCACTGAAATCGCTAAAATAATTAAAACCTATCAAAGATTTCAATGATTTCGGCGATTTATATCAGAGGCACCGCAAAGTCGGTAATACAGAGGAAAAAAATAACTGTTATACAAAAATTATAATTTTGTACAATTATTATTTTTTTGTATTATTTTTTCCTCTTTTCGATGGCGCAAAATCCCAAGACGGGAAAGGGCCTACCTCTCATGAAGTTTTCGTAACAATTGATTATTTTCCGGAGTTAGATTGTTAGCCTAATATCCAACCTCCTGCCAAAAATGACAAAAAATTTTTCTTAAGATTTCAATTTCGAAATTTTTTATCGTTTTTGGCATAGACTACTTCACAGATACGTATTAATGCGTATATTTTAATCCTAGAAAAGGATTTTCGAATCTGTAAAAGAGCAAAAAAGTAATTGTTACACAAAAATTGCGATTTAGTCGGTAATACAGACAGTTTTAGGATTCCTTTAAGACAAAGATACAATATATTTCTCTCTGTTATAGATTTTACTCCTACTATTCTGCATACAAAAGTCGGTTCAAATCGTCTCGTGTCGCGACTATTATTAAGGCATGATCAAATTATAAAGATTGAGATTGAGATTAGATTGGAATTTAACCAATCAAAATAAAGTTCACAAAACTTGAGGTTGATTTTCTCTTTTCTTATTGGTTAAATTCCAATTCAATCTCAGTCTCAACCTTTAGTCTGATCACACCTTTAGATCTCTATCTCATAATAGGGAGTTTTTCTCTAATAAATATTCAACATTACTCTCAATGTCTTTTATTACGGTTTTATTAGATCGATATACAGTACATTTCGGAAGAGATTTACGCAATTTACTAAAGAAAATATTTCTGATTAAAGATTAACAATATCGTTTTTTTTATAACTCGATATTATAGCATGTTACTTTGAAACATTAAATTAAAGATAAGTATATATCGTCCGATTTAGGATTACATATATATGTATATATATATATATACATATACATACATCATATATACAAGAGCGTGTGTCCTTACAGCTACCATAGATAAAGAGTGTGGCAAGTTTCATTTATGAAACCTCTACACACTGTGCCACTGTGATTAATTAATAATTAAAAATGCTTGGCGTGAAAAGTTTGAAAATCTTTGGTAAACACACACTACACAATCACACATGTCGTACAATTATTCCTAGGATATTATCTCAATAACGTATGATTAATAGCGACTAGATCGTTAAGAGCTACGATATAGTGGCGAACAGACGATTTGTTTGCGTCGCTGTTTTGTTGTTTAATTGTATGTATGTATTTATGTAGATTCTCGATTCGTGCTTATTTTATTGATTTATAGGCACACGCGCGGCGTATAGGTTCAGTATCGTATGCGTTTTCTTAATTAAATATTTACCGTCCACTTTCGCCCTTTCCCTCTTCCCCCCCCCCCTTCTCTCTCCTCCAAGCGAATCGAATGTGCATATATCGATAAATTATTCTTATTGAATAAAAAATTATTTTAGATATTTTTAAATATCTAAATTTTTTTAACAAATATAATATTAATTATAATATTATAATATTAAAATA